GACGATTATGGTACACCCATAATACACCCTTTACCTCGGGTTTAGTGTTTTTATTGTCAGGTTTAGTGTTTTTCGACAGGTTTAGTGTTTTTCGACAGGTTTAGTGTTTTCCGGGGTTTCCACTCAACGTACCAGAGGTCACCAATGGAAATCCGTCGATCAGTGTCGGCATGTTTTCATGATTGTACGGCCTTACTCCTTAACTGCGAATTAACAGTAAACTGAAAAAATCATTTCCATAACAAACTGATCATAAAGATTTCTCAGTTCATCTCCCGATTTTACCTGAACAGTGCGAGGGGGCAGTGTTGTGTACATTTGACCCCGTGACGATACAAGATCGTTGTACGACTTTTATCACAGTCAGTCCGTGTATCAGTAAATAATACACAGGAAACGTCAAACGTGCAAAGAAATTGGAAACAAACCTTGCTAAATCTCCAGATTTCTTCTGAAACTCGCGTAAATTGAATATGTAGAGAATGTATGTGCTCATACGCGATACCACTGCACAGCACATCGTCCGCCATGTTCAGTCATGTGACATTCCCATCATGCATCTCATAAAACACAACACTTTTTAAAGTCACTTGAGGTCTTATGTGATGTCACTAATTAGTTTTCTCTAGAAAAAGTTAGCGTTTGTGTGAATTTCTCAAAAAAACAAAAATGGTTACCATCGAAATAGTGTTTTAATTTGCTGATACCATATGTATGTAATACAAATTTGACCAGTAAAAAACATTTGTTCTACAGCTCAAACCCCTACAAAATGGGTGTATACAAAACACACATATTTATTAGCATTTCTACCTTCAAGTTTCTCAAAAAAACAACCATTTCCGTAGTGACTAATCAAGAGTTACCAATATCACGGGTCACCAATAAAGAAAGCTTCACACACGAGTCTAACAACTGGCGTAATTGAAGTGCGCCCTCATACATAATGTTTGGAGAAACGGCTTACTAACCAATGGTATTGATGGGAAAATATACAATTTAATTAAGAACTTGTATGACAATACAAAAACATGCAGTCGTTTTGGAAATAAAATTACACCTATATTTGAGATAAGTAAAGGTGTAAGGCAGGGGTGTGTAATCAGTCCAATACTTTTTAATCTGTATGTAAATGATTTAAATAGTACATTAGAAGTTGATACTTCAGTAAACCAGGTTACATTAAATAATAATAAGACTAGTTCATTATTCTATGCAGATGATTTGGTATTAATTTCAAATACAGGATTGCAAAACGCATTAAACAAATTAAATGACTACTGCTATAAATGGAATCTCCATGTTAATCTCACAAAAACAGAAGTAATAATTTTCAGAAAAAGATCAATGAAGAGCAGAGATGCATTTTATTACCAAGGTCACAACATAAGCTGTGTTAATACCTACATCTATCTTGGTATCTCTATTCAATCTAATGGTAAATTTAATGAAACCAGAAATTACCTATCAGATAAAGCTACTAGAGCTATGTATGTGTTATTAAAATCATTACCCAAAGAAGCTGTAGAACATATCTACACTTATTTCAAGCATGTATAAAACCAATACTGTTATATGGTTGTGACGTTTGGGGTGGTGACATTTTGGAAAACTCAAAATGGGACAAAACAAGTAATGAACAAAAACATATAAAATGTTGAAAAAAGTTATTGGGGGTAAATAAGCTCTCTTCAAATGCAGCAAGTAGAGCTGAACTTGGTGAATTCCCACTGTTGATTGATATTAAGGGAAATCTTATAAAATACTAGTCTCGTATCAAAGAGTTTCCAGAACACAATCTCACAAAACAAGCCTTTCACGAACAGAAGAAGTTAAACTTGCAATGGATGAATTCTATTCAAAAAGTGATAAAAGAAAATATCTCGATGAATAACCAGTCAGACTTATCACCCAGGGATGTTAAACTTACTACAACAGAATCAAAGCAAAAATCATGGATTGGTGGAAAGTAACCATGAGCAACCAAAATGGCAAACTCAGGACATATGCAAAACTAAAACAAACATACACCTATAAAAAAATAAAACAAAGACATTGCATGTCCAGATTTAGAATTAGCAACCATCCATTAGAAATAGAGAAAGGTAGACATATGCAACTAAAAACACCTCTAGAAAACAGATTATGTATACATTGTTCAGAGAACAAAATAGAAAATGAGGTACACTTTGTCATGAAATGTCCAAAATATTACAATAACAGGCAAAAACTATTGAGAGATGTAATAATTCCAAACACAGTCCCCAACATTAATCAGAAATTTATATACCTGATGAATTGCAATGATGTTGAAATTATAAGACAAGTGGGTGAATATGTATATGCCATATTTGTTACAAATCCTCTGTCCAAAGCAGTGAAAAACAAATACATTAAATTATACTTTACAGATAGTGAGGCAAAGTAAGATATTCAGAAAATCTAATCAAACTTATGAGCGGTAGAACCCTAGATGAGTCAAGAATCTGCCAATATTTTCAAATCTAAGTCCTGCAATTAAACAAACTTTATTTACAAATATTCACACATTCAGAAACATGACAGGACAGACAAGTTTTAATAAAGTAATAATGAAGACAATTATACTCCAAAAAT